ATCAAAATTGTATCATATATTGTTGCAAATCGTTAAGATAAATACTTTTGCTTCAGTAATGTATAACAAAATATTGATCATTAGAGAGTTATAGATAAAAAAACTTTTGGCCCCTCTGAGCCCCTATTTTGAGGGGTCAGCCCCATTTTCTTGATATCAAATGAAAGGTTTTGTGATTTTGAAGTTTATTTGTTCAACACTTATTCAGAGATTTCTATTCGTTGTGGAGATATGCTAAATGGAAATATTTAGGGGCCACTCCTACAAGTCCTTAATGGGGCCGTTTTACAAAAATTTAAAGTATGCATATTGTTTAGAACATTATTCTGACCATCTTTTGTTCAATATTGCTTTTTAAAATATTCCCACTTTTCGAGATATAAAGCGTCTAAGATTTGACATTCTGGCCCCTTGTGACCCCTAATTACTTAACATATGATCAAAATTGTATCATATATTGTTGCAAATCGTTAAGATAAATACTTTTGCTTCAGTTATGTATAACAAAATATTGATCATTAGAGAGATATAGATAAAAGACTTTTGGCCCCTTTGAGCCCCTAATTTGAGAATCAGCCCTATTTTCTTGATATCAAATGAAAGGTCTTGTGATGTTGCACATTTTTTCTTCAATATGTTTAACAAATTATGAACAGTTGTGAAGAAATGAAACAAAATATGTCAAATTTTTTGAGATATTTCTGAGACATTTTTTCGGGCCCTACCGAGCTCCGGCGCCTTTTGCGCTAGAAAGATTTGGAGACCCAATTACAACTCACCAAACCTTCCTCTATTTCCACTGAAAATCTTAAGTCGATATCTTGAGTCGTTTCGGAGGAGTTTCCTGGACAAGCCGACCCTCTGAAAATCAGAAAATCCTCCATATCTCACGACCTGAAGTGAGATAATCAAAAAGCAAATAAACCTATCAAGATCAATTGCATATCTTTCAGATCTGAAAGTTTGGTATAAATCGGAAGAGCCATCTCTGAGAAATCGCTTGCACAAAATCGGTTGGAAGAAAAATAATAATAATAATAATAGGGAAAAAGAAACCGAAGAATAACAAGAAGGTCTTCCGTTGGATACGGAAGACCTTAATAATAATAATAATAAGAAGAAACAGAGTAAAAACAATATGTTCCCCAACTTCGTTTGGGGAACATAATAAGAAACAGAGTAAAAACAATATGTTCCCCAACTTCGTTTGGGGAACATAATTAAGGGCATATGCAAGGTACTTTACCTACTGATACTTTTTCAGATGTTCATAGACAAAATATCAGCATGCATTACCAGGGGTTTTTGGAAGATATCAAATTATGAAAATGTTGCATTATTCAAAGAAAAAATACAAAAGTACGAAACTTAAATTCCGGATTTTTTTCCATCAAAATTTGTTTCAGAAGAGGTGTACAAATCCATATATAGACATTAAAAGTATTGCACACAGGTCCTTCATTTAGTGGAACTCTTCAACTCCGGGGAACAGCCAAATTAAGTTCAAACTACGTTGCGTATGACCTTAAGTGGTCAACATGGTTTGCGAGAATCTTTTGACTCTGAAACATTTTAATTACTAGTATGTGTTAAGTAAAACTAATATGAGGAGTATAAACCACTTACCATAAATTCCACATTTTAAATCTCTCTAAATTTTCAATTAGGTCAAATTGTACATGCATTTATAATATCATATACTATGTTTGCCTGCATTTATATCAGCCGCCTATAACTGTATCTATTTTGTTTTATTCCTAAAGTAAAGGCCTGTCATTTACATCCGTAACATATAAGAAGGAAATGGATAAGTATACGTTAGGTAACCTAAGGTTTTGTAACTTATTTCCAAATATCCTTGTTGGTTGCTAATTATTTTCAGATAAAAATCTTGTTGAACATAATGCAGATATCATCGACCAATTCCAGATGAGAGCTCATTCAAATGATATTATTATGATAGTGAAAATAATGTATGGAGTAGATGAAAACTGTTCCACATTTTGTTAAGCGTTCTGTATCTTTACAGTTATTTATTCTGAATGCGTGTCAAGTATGCCCTGATGCCGCAATTTGCAATGGGTGGTCACTCTCAATAAAAGCCATATGATTTAATAAAACCTTTCAGGTAATATTTTGAAAGCTATGCTGACCAGAAAGCTTCACTTACTAATAAATCTGAGACATCTAGATTCTGCCTTAGCAAAACATGTTAATTGGCAATCCAAATGTGCACTATTTTTTAACTGACCAACCTCCATCTGTCCACCTCACGGCATGAGCATGATGGTAACTATAGGTCAAATGAAGATGAAATTTTGAACAGTGCTTTTCTTGTGAATTATTTTTTTTACATATAATGGATTATCAGTGTTTATATTAGTTAATAAATGAATATAAATGAAAATTCCATGTTCAACAGGTCGGAGAGAATACTCGAAATCGGGTATTATCCGTGAAATCGCGTATTATACTCGATATCAGGATATCGTTGAATCCGCGAAATCGGGTATTCCGTGCAACTTTCTATAAAAACTAAAGAATAAAGCAACGGCGCATTATGCCAGTAACTGTTACTTGTACATCAGTATCTTGTGGATTTATTTTTATTAAACCTTATTCATAAGGTTGTCAAATAACTTAAAAATCACACAACAAACACTGCTGGGGTAACAAAGAAGACACAATGGCGTTATTATTTTTCAATATAATTTCTAAAAACAAATAACTACACTTCGTTTGTCTTTATTTCCCATTAAAGTATTCCATATACTTAATTTTCTAATTTGTGCACTATTCACAAAACGTAAAATTTTAAAGAAATTAAACGACTAACGCCGTGTTATGTATTTTTCCTGAAAAATGTATGGCGTCCCTTTCTCGTGAAATATAAATGACTCCTAACAGTTAGAGAGTACAGTATAAGCGAGTCATAATTGTATATCTCTGCCATTATAGAATACCAACTTTATTATAAAGAAGAAAATAAAATAAGATGAAATAAATACCCACGGGAAAACAGTTTGAAAATAGCTAATTGAAGCGGAGTATCTTATTTTATGTCAATTTAGCATGAAATGTTTATTTCAAAGACACCGTAAATTTTTGGTTGCATTTTAATCGATAAAAAATATACTATTTTACCTTTATTTCATGCATTTTGTGAAAATTTAGAGCGAGAAGTCATTTGAACAGGATTTTCGTGTTTTTTTAAGGGGGGCGGGTTTATAAATAAAAGTCAAATGTGTACATCTTTTCATGAAGTTAAAATACATTGAATTTCTCAATATAGATCGAGGTACAGTCATATTGATATATGAATTACATAGTCAAGTTTTTACATTTCTTATTGTTTTTACGTTTAAACAATCTGAAATAATGGAGTGTTCAATTGCCTTGGAAACTCTTGTCTTACTTTTTGGGAATATAATTCCTCATCGGTCATTAAATTTTCATAAAAATCGTAGCCATTTCCTCTCTTTATCATAGGCGTCGGAACCGGGGGGGGGGGGGGGGGCTAGGGGGGTGTGGCCCCCCCACTTTTTTCCCAATATATACTTAGTATATACATTGAACCTTGTTATATAGGTAGAGCCCCCCCCCCCCCCCCACTTTCCACAGACACCTCGCAGTATAGGCTAAAAATGGGTAAAGTTTTGGTGTTTGGAGAAAAATTTAGGTACTAAAGTTCGAACCTACCCCCCTCCCCTCTTCCTTACGATAAAAAATATATGACCGAGACATTCAAAGAAAGATCTCTTAGACACATGTAGAACACAGTCGAGGTTGTTTTGTCAGAGGTTATCAAGAAGCCTTTAGCCCCCCCCCCCCCTTTTTGAAGTCGCCAGGAAATGGTAAAATATTGATGACTTAGCGAAATTAAACGATCAACAGTTATGTTCTCTCATAAACTGTATTCCTGAAACTATCACTGTCTCTGCTAAAAGTTTGAAGACATATTCTGCAAATATGTTTGAATGAAAAATAAAAAAGAAAAGATTTTCCAAAAAAGAGAAAGAGGGTTCTTTTAGCCGAAATTTTAAACAATTTTATCATTACATTATTTATACATTCAAAAATAAATTTGATTTTATGCACAAGATGAATGTTAAAGTAATTAATGACGCATAATTAGATAGAATAGACAATCTCTTGTTTATACATGGCATCATATCTGGTGTGTGAAATGTGTTTCCGTATAATCTGATTTATTTACAAATTGTTCATGTTTGTCGTGTTGATGTGGAATTATTATATATTCCCGAATTCTGATACTTTACAATTTTGTTGTGTTGGGAATGAACATTAGGAAGATGCATATACTTTCAACGTAAGGAAAAATATAGAGCAAATCGAACGCCTTTTTGTGTGCAGATCATGACATGTACTGAGCTCCACGGGTATTTGTTGTCCCGAGCGCATTAATCTTGAGGCCCAAATTCTTACTTGGCTAGTGATATCTTTAGAAAACATGTGTATCTAGATGAAAGTTAACTCGGCAACATGCGCCATCCCATTCTTTAAGTTTTATTAGGTGTTTACACCTCCTATACCCGATTTCGCGGATTCTACGATACCCTAATATCGAGTATTATACGCAATTTCACGGATAATACCCGATTTCGAGTATTCTCTCCGACCTGTTTAACTTATTCGGTCAGAATCTGTTAAGTGACCTCATATGCTGAGGCTACGGAGGGGTTTATTATCCATCCAAGTTTTGTATGTTAAAATTATATACTAGAGAGAATAAAACATACCCTTTTCCATATCACATCCTGTATCAGCCCGAGACACCAATATCCTGTATCAGCCTGAGACACCAATATCCTGTATAAGCCCGAGACACCAATATCCTGTATCATACTGTTTGTGACAGGTTTGATATTTTAGCGTCATTCGTTCCCACTTCTATAAACTTCGTTTAAATATGATTTCTGATTGTTGGGATGTGACATGTTGTAAATTTTTAATTTTCTGAGTGAAAATAAAAAAAAAGATCAAACTGTAATTTGTTTATTACATGAACATGCCATCCAGTTAATTCAAAATTGAAAACATACATGGAAAGGAAGATAGAGTAGATGGTTTTATAACAAAAAGAAATACATGTGTGCATATTTATTTACAGAGTGAATTCATACAAATATACATATGCATATTGATGGCATTTTTTGCAAAGTTCTCAAGCATATATAGTGAAATTTAAACGTTGCTTGCAATTAAAGCCCGATGATAATCGACGAATTAAGTCTATGGTATGAATGTACATGTAATTGGCTTACGAATCTATCTACAAAGCCTTTCGCGAAAATATTTGTACAATGCTCAGAAGTTAGTATTGAAATGATTAGAAACAAACTCTGTAATTGAATCTTTTATTTCTGAATATTAAGGATAGATTACTATTATTTACCGACTTTGCTCTTTAAGTTTGTAAACGTTTATGTAGTACATGTTTTTAAAAACGCAAACTAAACAAATATCCAAGCTTTACTATTGAACACACTTTTCAAAAATATTCTTGATATCAACTTTATTGAATAATGCTGCGCTGTTTGTAGTTATCGACATTAGTTCTGTGATTAAACTTTTCCTTTCTTATAAACTAAAATGGATGGTAAATAATATTGATGCAACAAGTGTTGCTCTTGTTGCCGTACTGGCTTCTGATGTTGCTTTCTTCAGTTCCTCACACGTGTCCATACATTTAGCCTGGCAGTTCTCTCGGGCAATTTCCGCGTTACAGGCGTCGAGAGCTGTAAACATGGCAAAACGTGAGTCCCAGCTAAGTGCAACAGCTGCTTGCCGGAAATAAGCCCCCATACTGCCATTTACACATGGATTTTTCATTGCTTCTGGTAAAAATGCACGGCATTCTGAGGTACATCCCATGAGCATTTTACAGTTCTCGTAGACGGCCTTCAAAAAAGTGACCGTTGCAGGATTTTTTTCATCAATGAATGCCGTAATATTACAACCATTTATAAGTTTATCTTGATAAGATTCTAGAGCATTTTGGCTTATGTCTTGCCACTGAGTGCAGGAGGTCACGGTGAGATTTTCCTTTGGGTAGTACGTGAGAAATCCGAAACACATTTCATCACTAGTTGCATCACCTTTGAACACAGTTTTGTTCATGTTCATGGAGTTGAATACACAAGTGGTGATTACTTCGTCCCCGGCTCTGAACTCAACAGGTGTTGAAAATCTACAATGAGAAATGATTACTGTAGAAGTACTTTTTTCCGCGTGGTGTTAATTTACGCTATGTACGGGCTCATATTAAAACTTAGAGTTACTATGAGCACTGAGTTCACTATAACCCCCGCCTCCCATATGATTATAATGTCAAAAAGTCCATGTTTTTCTCTGGATTATCCGAAATAAGTATCAGATCAAAAAGTAAAATAGGAGGTGTACAGTTGCATTGTGTAATGATGAAAAAGTGAAAGTATTAAATTTTATTCAGTCAGTGTGGTATAGGAGGAGGATAAAAGATGGGTACCCTCAAAGATTATAGAAAAAATGACAGTGTCATGTTTTGCTATGGGAAAGTCCTCTATGCCAGTGAAGGAAATTGAATGAATTTGTCACATAATTGTTGTTACATACCCGGTAGTACAATTGTGCACCTCCTATTTAGCTTGCCTGAGCCGAAGGCTCAAGTGAGCTTTTCTGATCAAATTTGTCCTTTGTCTGTCGTCGTTGTCGTTAACTTTTAACATTTTCATTTTCTTCTCAAGAACCACTGGACCAGTTTCAACCAAACTTGCTACAAAGTATCCTTGGGTAAAGGGGATTCAAGTTTGTTCAAATGAAGGGCCACGCCCTCTTCCAAGGGGAGATAATCATGAATTTGTGAAAAATTAATAGAATTCTTAAAAATATTCAAGAACCAGTGGGCTAGGAAAGATGAAACTCATGTGGAATCATCCTTAAGGAGTGTAAATTCAAGTTTGTTCAAATCATGACCCCTGGGGGTAGGGTGGGGCCACAATGGCCGATCAAAGTTTTACATAGGAATATGTATGAAAAAAATCTTTAAAAATCTTCTCAAGAACCATTGGGACAGGAAAGATGAAACTCATGTTGAATCATCCTCAGGTAGTGTACATTGGAGTTTGTTCAAATCATGACCCCACAGAGGAGTGAACACCCCCTGCTGACCGGTCAAACCCACCGTGTACTCTTTGTCATGATCGGGGAATAACGGAAAAAAGGTCGTCAATTCAGTGTATAAATAATGGACTAACAATTAGTTTGAAAAAAAGTCTGTCAGCATTAGACTCAGTAATAAATTGTATTTGATGACCAAGTCATTGTATCGACCATATAAAATGATGACTTTAAAATAAAAAAGGAAACTTGCGCAATTGCATTAGGTAATAGAGAATCCGTGAAAGTATCAGACAGTTTTATTCAGGTGTTCACTCCTCTGTGGCACCTGATCCCACCCCTGATGTTTTGGGGATCCGTGTTTGCTCTGCTCCTATTTTGTTTTGTTTCATGAATGCTACTGTTCGTTATCTCCATATGTGTAATTTGATCCGACACTTTGTTTTTTGGGTCTCCCGTAGTTCAAAACATGGGACTTTTCCATCATTATCATACGGGAAACGAGGGTATCAAATTTTGTGAGTTCACAGCTCACAGTACCTCTTGTGTTTTTTAAAGATCAAGCTGGATAAAACAGTGCACTGCTGATCACGTATCAACCAGAATTAATATAAAGAAATTTAAAAGGATACTCCATTCATGTGAATAAACAGTATTTGAAATGTGCCTTTATTTTATTATTATAATTTTCTTTAATAAAAAAACAATGATAAACTGCTCTCATTTTCACAGCATCCTTTAAGCTTTTTCATATATTTTTATTTAAATTACGAAAAGCATCTTATTTGCAAGTTAAGCAATTCTTCAGCCGTCTCTTTGAAAAAGCATAAAATTTTATAAGTACATTAAATGTTATAAAAATAGAGTCAGTATTTCAATGATGATAATTTATTTTTGGCATTTTCCATCCTCACAATTTTAATAGTTGCAAGCATCTGGTGATATTACACTCCGGGGCTTACCTGTCAACTCAGGACAAACATTCTGATTTATAATACTTCTGTTAAAATGTTTCCTATATAAAGTTAAGAAGGTAAAATGACTATTTTTCACAGTCTGAAAATTTCCACGCATAGAAAACTATACTCCGGGGTATAGTTTTTGCTATCCATCCTCGGAAGATTTTCATGCAATTTTCCCCGCCAATTTTGGTTTAGACTTAGGAATTATAATATACATCAGTATAATAAAACGCTTATCCATTGGTTGTGAGTGGGATAGCTCTTTTATCAAACCCTTAACAGGGACTATCCCCCTAGGGCAAGCCCTGGGGTATTAGTCCTGTCGCGGTTTTTATAAAAGAGCTATCCCACTCACAGCCAGTGGATAAGTAATGTCACCCGAGAAGTCATATGATATACATGTATGTATATAACGAAGATTTATTTCGTTTTATGTCAAATATCAACAGACGACGTTTCAACATTTAATATGATCCGGTAAGATTTGCAAGCTAACAGTTCATTCCTTACTTCGAAGGTTTGAATTATATTTTCAGGTACACCACATGTCAAAAAAAACTTAAGCCTTGAAGATTATTTAGAACAACACTCACCGTCGTTATTTCTTTCCATGCAAAAACTCATGAAAATCATTATTGTGCTAATTAAAACCACGTTAGTCAAACAATATACTGTATAATAAAGCTTTTGGTTAAACTGTACAATGTATTATGGTACATATAAAATATGATACCATAAACGGAATAGACTTGTTATACACATAGGTGATGTCATTCAATAAAAAAAGATTATCTTACTCGAACGTTTTGGGACTATCATAACTGTAGTCGGTTTCATAAGACAGGTCCCGCAATTTCTTTCCATCCCTATAATGTTCCAACTTCATTTCTCTTCCTGAAATGCATATATTTACACAAAATATTAACGAAAGAAAAGATTTCTGTTAATAAATTTGGATCAAATTTGAATTCAAGCATGCATGTTTTGACTATGACATAAATCATATCATAATCTTGACTCAACATTTACGAATGTTTCGTTATCTTGACAGAATTTTATCATCAATAAAACTTTAAACATTAGATTAAAAATAGTATATAAATTCTATATAGTATGTTGCCAAACGTTGATCTTGGTATATTTTGTTAGCATACGAGTCGAGGTTATATATACATGTACTAGTATATTCATTGTCAGAAGTTAAGGAGGCTGGGAGGTCACCAGATATATCTTAAATTTTCAGATATGGTATTTTAAGCTGTCAACTATTATTTGGCAAAGAAAAATTTTATGAATATTAATTTTAAAATTTGATCATTTTTTTTTAAATACTAATAAGTATATCTTTATATGGAATTCTTCTTCTAAGGGAGATCAAAATAGTCTGAAAATGGCCAAAAACACCCAGCCCCTTCAAGTCAAAATAGCGGAGTGAAACACTCATCTCCACAGAAAAAAACATACATTGTGTTTCCATTATTCCAAGATAAATGTTTGCTAGTATTATGATAATATGAAACGGAGAAAAAACTTAATTTATGTAAACAACCGTCTGCGATGGTAGACTTTCATTTTATGGTTAAGCGGCATTACATAAAAGTATAGAAAAAAATATCTGTATAATGTAAGAAAAGAAAAGAAAAAGAATACCCAGGTAATGCATATGATTCAGTGCACGGGTAAAGTAGACTGGTCCATTTACAATAAATTGTGAAGTGTCGGCACGGGGACAGTTCGCTGTCACCACAACTCGAGGGGAGCGTGGGGGGATTTGAATGTAATTCTGTCCGACCATCAGAATCCCCGCATCATGGACTCTTCTTGACTTTGTGAGGAATATATACATGCCAGATCCGTCCATATAATCTGACCTTTTCTCCGGGTTATTCCAATGAACCTAAGGAAAGCAGTGATAATGCAGTGTTTCTACAGCGTTCAATAAGGAATTATTAAGCAACTTTTTGCTATGAATAAAGTCAGCAGTAGGTAACAGCACATGCTCCTCCAAGTGTCAGTCACTATTTTTTCTAAGCATCGTCGTGTGTGTGTTTTCTCTCATAAATTTTATTTTTAAAGTTGAAAATATGATTCATATCTAATGTCTAGTTCAAGGCAGGATTACTTAGACAAATTAAGAGCTAGATTCACTTTATGCATAAAATGCCCCTGTCCTTATACCAATTAATAAACTATCATCCTCTTTCCCATTTCATATAACAAAATAAAGTAGAGACTTTTCGTTTCCTACAATAAAATTTCTTTTTGAGAATCTGAGTATTGGAAAACAGGCTTTGAGAAAATGTTGTTTTTGAGAACATACGTATTTGACTACCTTCAGCAAAGAATTAAAATAAGAGCACAGCCCACGATCTAAAAATTAAAACACGTTTTTTTTTAATCTTCAGAAACAGATCTTTCATATTTTGGATCAGAGGTTGTGTTCTCTGTACTCCAACTTTAGGCCATTTTCAAAGGAATTTACAGAATATAGGGAAAATGACGCATTTATGGCGTCATAATGCATTGACTAGAGGGAAAATTATGTCATGTTCAATAGATACATGGTCACCAACAGTCCAAGTGATAAATACTGTATTTTCAACCTAAACTGAGCAGTTTTGATTTTTCAGATATAATTCAGGGCCAACAAAGCCCTAAAAAGCTCTTGCTTTTTGATATTTTACATGAAAATGTTCACAAAATAATTTGTCATTGTGAATCCTTCTTTATTTTCTTGCAAAGTTTTCATTAAAATAATGTACTATGTAAAATATCAAAATGTCAGTGCAAATCTCTTCATTACATCATTACTTGATTTGCACCGACTAAATATTACGATAACCTTTATTTCCTAAGAAACCCATGATTTTTAAGCAATCAGTATGTCTGTTGTTTAACGTCCCTCTCAAGATTTTTTTCACTTAGCCTATATGGAGACACCACCACTTGTATTTCCTACAAACATACATCGACCATTGCTTCCAAACTTTTCAATTACAAAAAAACTTTACATGGCCTGAATATCGAGTACCTGAAACAAAATCCTTCATCGTGTTCATGTTCTTCTTCGCCCTATAACTATAATCCTGCTGAACACATTATTACAGGTGACATAAATATAGTTAATAATGAGGACCTCAGATCACTTATTTTAAAAGTTCTAAATTTAGGGAACCCTGATCCTTCAACTGGCGTCGGAATTTCATTAATATTATGGATTCTGTTGAAGATTACGCCAGGCGATGGGCCAGATATGAAAAAGAAGACGTTGACACTTTGTCAGAATGGATTAAATGTATCAGACCATGTTACAATCGCGTATTAAAAGATTGAGGGGCAATATGAAAACTATATATCCTTCTGTATTCAATAATCAAGAAGTGATAAAAGAATTAGAAATATTACATGATCAGTACGTGAGGGTCCCAGCTGACAAAGCAGGTAATGTCATTGTCTTCGTTTGTTAGGCTCATTATACGAGGGTTGTTCGAAAAGTTCGTGGACTTCTGTCATGTCTTTTTTTATTTGACGTCATATGTTATCCAAATTTGGTAGATATATTTTTATAATAAATTCAAGAGATTTGTTTTAATTCTTTTTTAAATATCACGATATATTCAAAACTTATCAAAATTTTAATAATGCAAAAATCGGGTCGCAGAGCAGGTCTAAATTTATTAAGTTACAAAAAATACACTAAATAATGTCTGTAGTCATAATCTACGTTAAATGGAGTAAAAACGAAAAATAAGCGCCGCGAGAATTCCATCGGCATCGAAAGCAAGTTTTTTGACTTGCCTAGATAGCCGAGCGGTCTAGCGCGCTGTTCCTGCACTGCTAGGAGGCAGATTCCGAAGGTCGAGAGTTCAACCCCGGGCTGGGACGGAAGTGGGTATCCATGTAAGAGTGAATTTCTTTGTGCTTTCTATATTGATATTTCTTCACTTAGGGCAGTTATGTTAGTTTAAGAGTTGTTGTAAAACGTGCTATATATATATATATATATATATATATATATATATATATATATATATATATATATATATATTGGATTCCGAAACTTCATAAAAATCCTTACAAACAAAGATACATTGCGGGTTCCAGTAAATGTTCAACCAAGCCTCTTTCTTTACTCCTCACTAAGATATTGACAGTAGTGAAGGAAAAACTTCAAGAGTACTGTGCAACAATATATTCAAGAAGTGGTGTGAATCAGATGTGGATACTCAAAAATTCCAAAGAGCTATTGGATAATTTGAAATCACAAAATTTTACCAAAATCAACAGCTTAAAAACTTACGACTTTTCAACTTTGTACACAACCACTCCCCACGATAAATTAAAGTCCAGGCTTTTTGAAATCATTGACAGCTGCTTTTTCAACAAAAATGGAACACGGAAAATTTTCTTACCCGGTCATTGGTCATTTGCAAAACTATTTTGTTAAAACACATTCTGATTGCACATACAAGTACTCTGACGTTGACATCAAACAGATGCTCGAGTTTCTGATTGACAATATCTATGTGGTTTTTGGAGATTTTTCCAACAATCTATTGGAATTCCCATGGGTACCAATTGCGCTCCGTTATTAGCAGACCTATTTTTGTATTTATATGAAGCAGAATTTATACAAAATCTTATGCGTGACAAGAAGAAAACACTTGCTTTGGCCTTCAACTCAACATTTAGATATATTGACGACGTTTTGTCAATTAACAATAGTAATTTCCATTCCTATGTCGATACGATATATCCTGGGGAGCTTGAGATAAAAGATACCACAGAGTCTGACACATCTGCTTCACACTTGGATATTTTACTTGAAAAAGACGTTAATGGTCATCTAACAACCAAGCTCTATGAGAAACATGATGAATTTATCTTTTCTATCGTCAACTTCTCTTACTTATGCAGCAATATACCTTCATCACCTGCATACGATGTTTATATATCTCAGATGATTCGATACGCAAGAGCTTGCTCTACGTATGAACAGTTGCTAAAACGAGGTAAGTTATATATATTGAGAGACAAGTTGATGAAACAAGAATATCAGCAGTCTCGTTTAAAGTCATCATTTCGTAAGTTCTTTGGTCGATACAATGACCTTGTCAGCAAATACAATTTATCATTAAGTCAAATGCTGTTAAATATGCCGTAATCGAACGATTTATTAATCGGATACATAAAATTTTCTTCATTGGCAGCGTTGGAGGAGGTTTTGGAGTTGCTTTTCTGTTTCGCCTTATCTGATTGATTAGATATTTAAACTGTATAACAATCAACCAATCAGATAAGGCGAAACAGAAAAGCAACTCCAAAACCTCCTCCAACGCTGCCAATGGAGAAAATCTTATGTATCCGATTAATAAATCGTTCGATTACGGCATACTAGTATTTAACATTAATGGCGGGGTTTAGGTTAAATAGTTTGGTAGAAGAACATCTCCCTGACAGAGTGCTTGCAAAAGTATGATAGGTAACACTGTTATTAACTTGGAAATCTGTCTCGAAGCAGGGGTCCCCCCGTTTGTTTACAACTTTTGTTTCTTACCTTGTGTATTTTTATTATACCGAATAGGGCCATTCTTTAAACGTGAGAAAAAGTACAATCTGCTTGCATATAACGACAAATAGATGTGTTTGACGGGGAAATTTTATATTTTTGAGATATTTTACACTCTTACATTTTTTTTCATTAAAAAAAAAAGGGGGGGGGGTTATTATCCATACTTCAGGTGCCTGTGGTGGCTATAGCGTCTGTTCTAAAGTCTCGAAGTAAAGAGTTGATCCTTTCGTCGCGAGTTCGAATCCCACTGTGGAACGTGGCGATCGGTCCTTCGGATGAGACCGTGAAAACTGAGGTCCCGTATCGCAGTAAGTGTTGGCACGAAAAAGATCCCTAGTTATAAGAATGGTATCATCAAAATATTTTTGATATATTGATCAAATAAAAAGATGCATTCATTTAACGCTAAGAGTTCGTTAATGCTCTTTAGGTTTGAATTCAAGTATTATACATGAACTGCATATTGTTGTTCTGTCGTTTAAGTACCTCTAATATGGCTTTCTTGTATCCATTAACCCCGACCCTAAAACCAGTATCTTTATGAAGGCATTCACCGGTAAATCCTACAGCCCAGAGCGCTATCATATCATTGCAGTCTTCCTTGGCCATTCCACAGCTCTCGGGAGTAGATGTCACCTTCGCTGCAAGAAAGTAATATACAATTTACTCTACTGAAAATAGCAATTTCCCATATATGTTATAAAAAGGATGTTCAATATCTATGTTACAAATATTAGGTCAAATGATACTGTTTCAATTTCAATCTTCGCTAAATTAAATTTGTACACAAACACAATTCCACCCCCTCACATTAGCAATTCTATATCCCCTCTGCAACGTTTTACTCGAGCGTATGAAAAATTACCAACCTGTGTCTTTACAACCATATAGAATCATGTGATGTAGCACATTGGCATTGTCAACCAAAGGCTTAGACCCAATAAGATGGTAATCTCCATCTGTTAGGAGGTCAAAGGTCATGCAGAAATAATTTGTTTCCCGTGCTGGCACCGTGGTTTTCGGAAATTGTAATGTTTGGTTAATTGTATCTAAATACAGAGAAAAGTATTACAGGAGAAATATTACAATAATAAGCATTTTCGAAAAAGAAAACAAATTCATACATCAATTGATTTGGAAATATTCCAAAGGCATTTCAAAGATTTATCAACATCTTCTATCAATATGGATAACGAATCCCCCGTTGACACAGGAAATACCGTGTTTGAAGAATTAGATACTGAAATCACTGAAAAAGAAATATCGGACGCTATAGATTGTCTTAAACGAGAAAAATCTCATGGCCTTGATTATATCTTGAATGAATACTTTATAGAATTCAAGGATATTTTTTTACCATGTTTGCATATTATTTTTAATCGTATATTAATATCTGGTTATTTTCCAACACAATGGTCTGATGCAATTATTGTGCCAGTTTTTAAGAAGGGTAATCCAGACGATCCCAATAATTATCGAGGTATAAGTCTTATTAGTTGCTTTTGTAAATTGTTCACCTCAATACTGAATAGAAGGCTTATATTATGGGCATCATCTAATAGTGTTATTACAGATGCACAGTTTGGTTTTCAACCTATGTTAGGTACTACAGAAGCAATATTTGCTCTACATTGTCTTGTATCAA